GACACTGGCCCAGGTTGCCCAGAGAAGCTGTGGATGCCCCATCCCTGGAGGCATTCAAGGCCAGGTTGGATGGGGTGCTGGGCAGCCTGATCTAGTGGTTGGCAACCCTGTCCACAGCAAGGGAGTTGGAGCTGGATGATTTTTAAGGTCCTTTCCAACCCAAACCATTCTATGATTCTATGATTTGTGAGAATGTGCCTGCCTGGGGCTGGGGCAGGGGCCAGGGCAGGGGCTACCACCTGGTTTTAGCACCTGTGCTGCCCAAGGAGTGAGATTGGCTGGGGAGAGGCAGGTTTAACCCCGAGCTGAGGACAAGGGGTCTGTTCTCGCCTCTCAGGGCCGTGTGGGATCTGTTAGGGGTGATTCTGGGTCCATCCCTTCTGAAGGAGCAGTTCCATTTGGGCAGGAGCTGTGTCCCCTTCAGCAAAGGATGTTGGATGGGCTTTAGGTATCGCTGAGCTCATCTGAAGTCCAACTTGCTGCAAGGACTCTTGGTGTAATCCTTGCCTGAGGTGTGTTTGTGAGATCATTCCTTATAGGCAGGAGAACAGCAGCAGGCTGATCTTGTACAAAAGCTTTTGCAAATTGCTGCTGAGCCTGAACTGCATCCTCTTGGGAAGGAATTGTTCAGCAAAGCCCCACCAACCCCCTTCCTTAACCTGTAAGACCTGCATGTGAGCTCCGTTAGCCCCACATTCCCTGAGTGAAACTACTGGGGTTTGACCACAGGCTTTTTGGGGGTCTTTGCAGATTAGCACACGCGCTTTGTACTGCCAGGGATGAATTTGTGGATGCTCCCAACAAACACAGCTGTAATCCGCGTTAGGTGCCAAAAACATCTTTATTAGCAAAGTGTACACTAAAACTCCAGAGAAAGAGATGCTCACAGTTTTACTACTCTCAAAGGGAGCTCGATACATTACTTGAGCAGGCGGCCTAGGACTGTCACAGCATCTAACTGAACGGCAAGGCGGCAGCGCTAAGTGGGCTTCTCCTACGGGGGCTGCTGCGGGAATCTCCCGGGGGTGGAAAGGGCTGGGGAGGAGGAAGCATCTATCAAACCTTTATCAAAAGAGAGAAGCTGGGAGGAAGGGCTGGAGATGAGGTGTCTGGGGCTTTTCGGCTTTCTGGGATTGTGCTTTTGAGTTTTGTGCTTTATGCCCAGGCCAGTGACCAGTTGGGTTTATCTGGGGAGTTGTGGGATGTGATTCAGGGTTTGCAAGGCGCAGTCAGCCTTGCTGGAGAAGTCAGTGCCCTAGGACTCGTGCTGAAGCATGCTGAAGTGGCAGGGACCGTTGGCCCTTAGTTTCTCAGAGGCAGTCAAATAAGACAAGGTTAGCCTCTGTCCTTGTCCCAGGCTTCCCACCTGCAGCTCCCTCCAGTACCGCACTGTGGAGATCTCCTCCTCCTCTGGTGACTACCCTTTCTGTAATGCCCACAGGCTCTGCTGGACTAAGCCCAGTACCAACGCAATGGTCCCTGCTCCAAAGAGCTGACAGCAAAGTGGCCTCGCAGCTGAGAGCCGTGGATTTGCTCTCCTCTGGTCGCTGTGGCTCACTTGCCTTGCGCTGTTCACGAGAGGAAGCCTTGGCAAGGAAGAGGTGGTGGGTACCGTTTGGCCTAGCCAGCTTGTTGGTGGCCGTAAAAAAGAACTGCTCTGGGTTCACTATAGTGTGCAAATGAAATCTACTCTATGGGAACCGCTGGAAAATGTTGACCTTGGAAGCGAGCCACTCTACGCTTCCTTTCACGGTGGCAGAAGACAGCTACAAATTATACCCCTGAGCCAGTGGCATTGTCCTCTGTCTTACCCTTGCAGTCAAAATCAACATCAACTGGCCGAGCTTGCAGTTGAAGTTCCTCTTGACTTGCTTCGCAGCCTCCACATCTCTAACTTCCAGGAAGCACTGGATCGGAGAGGTGTCTCTGAATGTCCTGGTGCTTGGAAGATGCCTCCAAGTGCTCAGGGAGGGAAGGGAAACGAGAGCCCCGGAAGAGTCCCTGGATATTTGGTGCCCTTTGGTGGGGAGGCTCTGGGTTTGGGAGAGGTGGGGAATGGTGCTCCTGCTCGGAGTAGACTGTCACGGTGTCGTCGGATGCCACAGCGAGGTGCATCCCGCTTGACAAGGAGTCCGTGGATTTCAAGTGGAACTTTTCTGCCTCCGTGTAGCTCAGGCTCTGGTGGGAAAGGAGGAACCAGGTGGGTTACGGCAAAAGCAAAACAAAGTAGCCACGCTCTCTCCTCACCCCATCAGGTCCCCAGCCCCAAAATGTTATTTTTTGCCTGAGGAAGCCTCAGAGCAGAAGAACCCACTCCCTTCCCTACTGATGGGGCAACCTGCTAGTGCTGGAGATGGCAGGCTGTGCTCCAAAATCAGCGATGCTCTGGGCAGAAGCATCTCTAGGTAGATCTACCCCCATTTCAAGACCCCTGGGCTTTGCCTGGCCCCACACACTTGGCTGTGCTTTGCATGCAGGGAGGCTGGAGGGACCCTCTGGCCCTCCAGGACCCATCTGTTTGGAGCAGAAGGAAGCTCAGCTGGTGCTGAGCCAGGAGGGGTGACCTTACCTGCTCTGGGGTCGTCGGCTCCTCATCGTCCAGGGGTGCGCAGGGAGTGAGCGGCTCCAGGCTCCGTGGGAGGATGCCGTACATGGCCAGGTTGTGGGAGGACGGCGAGATGGGGCTGTACGCAGGCGGCACTTGGGACAGCTGGCGCTGCAGGAGCTGGAGGATTATATTAATGTCTGACGACATCCTGGACTCCAGCCTGGGGACAGAGCAACCCAGTGTTAGCTCAATGCATCCCGCTTCATCCCACGAGAGCCAGACCCGCAGCCAGGCAGGAGAGGCACAGGGGAGGAGGTGCTGATTCTGCTGCCCGAGGGTGATCGTGCTTTGCCTGATTGCTGCTTGGCGAGGTTTTTTAGCAAAGCTTTAAACCAGTGCTGCCACAGAGAGATCATCCTGCCCTCTCTCTCCTGCCACACTCAATCATCCCCTGCCCAATTTTTTTGTCGAGCCAAACTGGGATCTGGAACAGAGAACTGAACGAAGCTAAAACTACCCCAGAGCAGGGAAAAAATTGCAATGGTTAGTTTTAGTTTTAATCTGGATCAATTCTCCAGGCCAGCTGCCTGTGCTGACAGATGGGAGCAAGGCAGGTTGGTGCCAACCATTTTTAACTGAGGAACAGAAGGAAATGGAAAAGTAGACTCAGTCCCTTCCTTCTGCCTTGTCCTTGACTGAAATAAGCAGCTCCGGGAGGAGCGGGCACAGCCCCTTCGCAGGCAACGGTCCTGGGAGCACTTACAGAGCGGATAGGAGATCCAGCCCATGCTGCTGGGGATGGCACGTTGGTGAGAAACCAAAATACATGTGTGTGTGCTCTGCGGTGAAGTGAGCTTAATGTGGGCAGCAGGCGTGGGCAGGAGAGCTGGCCACTCGTGTGGGTGCTGCCTGGGGCCTTGAAACCTGCATCTCCAGGGTGGGCTCTTCCTTCTCATTCAAAAATCCTGTCTTTTTTCTTATTTACAGGGCAACAATGTGCACGAGGAGGCTCGTTTGCTTGAGCAATAGGATGTTTGCAGCTCTTTGCAACAGGAAGAGGAGGCCTGCAACAAGGCTCAGGTTGTGAGCCTGTGGGTGGTTTCATGTCTGCGATGGCATTGAGTTTGGAGGGGGTGGGAAAGTGGCAGATCTCAGCGGTGGTGGGACAGCGGCAGAGAAGGTGCTGGGCTGCAGCCAGGGCCAGGACTTGCAGTTTGAGAAGATGCTGCATTTGCAAAATGCTCCCACCACCTCCCCAAGGAATGCAATGTCCCAAGGGGTCAGGAGGTGGCATCTGCTGCACACAGAGCCACTGCAAGCCACTCCTAGAGAGCAGGAGATGCTGATGGTGATGGTCCAGAGCCCCCTGGATGCTCTCCAACCCTGTGCCCCGGGGGTCCTGCCCACCTGCTGAGCTGGGCTTGCAGGAGCTCCAGCCTGGACTCGATCTGCCCTGGTCTGCAGTCGCTGTGCAGGGGGATGTCCCTCCTGCTGTGTACCAAGGAGATGTGTTGCAAAGGCTCTGGGTGGTGGTTTGGCCTTCGGTCCTCCCAGAAGGTGAACATGTTGGGGATGTCCAGGGGTGTGGCTGTAAGGAAAGGAGACATCTCAGCACTTCTGTCTTGCACCCCACAGCACAACTGGCATGAAGGTGCTCCGAAGTCCATCACTCAACGCGTTCATGGAGAGCCATCACCATGACATACGTGGTACTTGGGGAGAGTTTGTCATCCTAGCACCTGAGGTGCTTATGAGGAACCATCACCCTGGCACCCAAGGTGCTAATGGACAGTCCATCACACTGGCACCCAACTCACCTACAGAAGGCACATAGCGTTTGGCCCAAAGGGGTCCCTGGGTGCTAGGAGGAACTGCAGGGCATGGGAGGGACAGAGCAGATACTACTGGGAACAAAAGGCAGCAAAGACCCTTGCCCACAAACGTGGCTCCCCTCAAGCCCGTGTGAGTTCCCTGGCTCTGCTCCAAGACAAGGCCACCATGCCTAAGCATCTCTCACCACCCTCCTGCCAGCTTTGGCTGCAGCTGTGGGTACCTGCGTAGGACTGGCTGCTCTCTGCCGCTTGCTTGCTGACTTCTGTGCCACTGGCACTGGCGGAGACGAGGCTGAGTGTTGGCAGAGCAAAGTCATCCTTTTTGGATGTGGGGAAGGGTTCAGCTCTTGTAGGGCTGACAGTCTTGGCCTCATCGTCACTGGTCTGGGAGCAGGGAGTGGTGCTGCTGCCCAGGTCGTCCCACTGGTCCTTACTCAGCGGGTCCTGCGGGTTGGTGAGCTCTGAGTAGGTGTGATACTGCTCTGCATCAGAGATGCCCGTGTCTGGGTCTGTGGGGCAGCACAATTAGTTAATTTGGGGAGTACCACACATGACAAAATCAGCCTCCATCCCTTCTAGGGTGCCTGCAGGGCTGGGACATCCTAAGGACAGGGAGGTGAGGCAGCATGGGTGTCCCCAGGGTGGGGACATACAGGTCTGCAGGGACAGAGGCACTAACAGCCACCTCTGCTTTGGGGCACCTGCTAGGACAGTAATTGAATGATGATCCCGCTCCCCAGCCCTGCAAACCAGGCTCTGCTGACGCTGTGGGACTCACCAGGCTTGTTGGGCTGGCAAAGGGAATGCTTACGTCGGCGCGCCCGCCGGTAGTTGCAGTCGTACTCCTCGCTGAGTGGTGAGCGGGGAACGCTGTCTGCCTGAGGGATGAGAAGGGCTGGTCACCAGGGCAAGGGTGCTGTGTCCCATCCATGGGCACCAAGACCCATCCCATCCTAAGGACAGGGATCCATGGGTGCCATATCCCATCCATGGGTGCCATGGCCCTGGGTTCCATGGGTGCTATGACACATTCAGCATTTTCCTGGGGCAGGTCTCCAGTCACCTCTGGCTCTCCGTCACTGCCCTGTCCCACCCAGTGACTCCTGGACCAGTGGCATAGCTCAAGGGATTGTAGAGATTGGCTTTGGTGCTCTGAGACTGAGTTGAGGGTGTCATGGCCATGGGGAAGGAAGGAGCACTCTGAGGTGGTGCAGGACATCCTGGGGTGGGACAGGACTTAGAGGGAATTTGACTTTCTTTTCTATCTTACCAGGCAAGTGGCTCTGAAAAAAAATATCAGCAAAGGTCAAAGTCCAGTTTAAGAGTCAAAGAGCAATGACAAAAATGCTCCAAGCCTTTCATGGATTGCAAACCTGATTATTTAAAAAGGAGTTTTCAGAGGAAGCTGGTACCCAACTCAATGAAGCTTGAGAATATTTCTCACTTCAGCAACCTCAAAACACATGTGTGACCCACTTGCCCAGAGTGGGGCAGTCCTGAAGATGATCTAGAGGTTCTGCAGAACAGGGTACTACTGACATGGCTGGTGGGGCCAGCTTTTCCAAAGAGCTCATGAACGTGCATGTGCCTGCTGGGCTGTGGGGGAAACCATAACCCCATGGAGAGTGCCTTGAGAAACATGACTGTTGGCCAGTCTACCACCAAATTGAGTGAGGAGCACCTGTTGACATCCATGCTTCAGCCCTCCCAATTGCCAAATTTAAGGCATTGAACACATCCCTCCCTGGGACAGTCCTGGCACTCACATCTCGCAGGTTAAAGGTGATCTCTAAGTTGCTCCAGAAGTTGTCAGAGAAGGCTGGATACATGTCCAAGACCTCCAGCAGGTCCTCCCGCTGGATCTTGTGTAAGTCACAGTAGGTCAGGGCCCTCACATCAGCATTGGACTTCCCTGGGCGGGCGTAGAGGCTGATGGGCTCCCCAAAGATGTCGTTCTTCCCTGTGCCAACAGACAACTCATTAGGGGGAAGTGGGCACCCACCCCAGTTCCAGATGTACTGGACCAGTAGACCTCACTTTGGGACTCACAGATAAGGGGATGCTCAGCAACCCCAACCCTGATTGTGGACACTGGGAATTACACCATGAAAGCCAACACTGATGGGAAGAGCAAGCTGGGGCAGTGGGTCATCAGTGATGTCTGGGGACAGCTGAGCCATGCCCTGCTCTCCTGCTCTCCTCACTCCCTTGTGGCCTCTCCCTGGCATTTACAGGGGATACTCTATCCCTTGTCCACTGGTGCAGTCACCAGGCAGATGTTGAGGAACAACGTTCCCTTCTCCAGGACATGGAGAAGTCCTTTACCCCTTACCTGCCACCCTTTGTGCACTGCTCATCACCCATCATCCTTCACCTACCACCCTTTTGCCATTGCCCATTGCCCTTCACCCATTACCCTTTGCCCCTCGCCCTCCCAGAAGGAAAGGACTTTTCCACCTAAGATGGCCACCACAATGTCTTCCCGGAGGATCTCGATGGAGCCACGGGAAATGAAATAAAGTGTGGTGAGGACATCTCCATAGTGCACCAAGGTGTCTCCAGGTGGTGCATGGGTTGTCTTGAACTTCATGGCCAGGGCACGCAGGCAGCCTTTGCTGGCTCCTCGGAAAGCCTTGCAGTTCTGGAGCAGCGTGCGGTTGAGGTGGAGGCAGATGTCTGCCTGCAGGCAGTCAGGGAAACCCTTCAGCACCTGCAAAGAGCGAGGGAAAGATGCCATCATGCCACTGTCCCCGGGAAGGACCACCGTGGTGGCCTCAGGAGGCTGTGCAACACATTGTATGACACGCTGGGGCCAGATGGAGGGTCCTTGAGCGCAGAAGGCCAAAGCTGGGGACATCTGATCTTCCCTTGGTGGACACCTGCCTGTCTGTTCCTGGCTTGTACTGCATGCGGCCAGGGCTGAGAGCACTCCCAAGCAATAAATAATAATAACAAGATCAATCTATTTATATCCACTGGTGGCATATTCCCCTTTTTATCTCTACACCCACTAATCTTGGCTGAATGAGAGCACGAACTGGTAACGAGGTGCTGTCCTAATTAAATAGCACCTGCCTGAACGCCAAGAAGCAGCACGGGCCAGTTGTACACAGCAACTGCTAAATATACCCCTGGCAAATACCTCGCGTGGAACAAAAGCTACATCTGAAGGTGAAATCAAGGTAAAACTCGCAATATGGAGAAAGCCACTGCCACCGGTGGCTCATGGTGTCAGGATAAAATCCACCTGGGTTTGGATTTTCTTTTGGAGAGCAGCATATGGCCCCAGAGTCCTCCTTGCTCTCTTCTCACATCCTGTTGATGGCCACATCTGGGACAGCCAGGCTGGTGCTGGTGAGTGCGGCTCATTCCTGGCTCTGTCATGATCTCACAGGCTGGCAGCGGTGCCTTAGTTTCCCTACTGAGAAATCAGGGGCGGCCAAATTGATCGGGCCGTGGGATGATTAATTAGATCATATTGCGTCTCAGCAGCATCCAACAGGAATTGGTGTGAGCGGTGGCACGTCCAAGCCGCAAGCTCAGCTCATCGCAAGGGATTTGACCTAGGTCTGCATTAAGTCAGGAGAACCTGTACTTGGTGGAGTGCCATGGCTTGGCTTCTAGTTATTGCCACCAATGTCCAGCCCAAGGTGTCTCCTCCATGGGAGAAGTTTAATCTGAAGCTCTCCCAGTAGAAAACCCTCAAATGCTGCTCAGTTGTTTAACAAGACAGCAGCAGCTGAAGACAGAGAGGTTGAATTCATGCAAATCCATGTCCTGAGAGTGCCCAGGGATGGAGAAGGATCACGTCTCAGGAAAAGAAAGAGCATGAGCTGGGAACGAGCAGGCTAACGACCTGCCCAGGGCTGAGAGACGGGGAGTACCAGGTCCCATCTCTCTCCTTGCCTTGTCCTTTTTCATTCCTCTCTCTGCCTTGCAGCCGGCCGAGCCAGCATGTTTGTGCGCTGGACCCCTGGCCATGAGCCACATCCTGCCACCCCGGTCCCAGCCCAGGACTCCCCAGCTGAGCCCCCTCCTCACCCCAGCGGTGCCCCAGCGCTGTCTGCACAAGCCACCCCACCGGGCTTGGAGACACGGTGCCTCTCCAGTGCGGCTCCACCATTGATCCCCCACTTTGCTAACAACCAGCCCCCTCTCTGGGCTCTAATTAAAATGGATCGAGGTTTATTTAAATGCCCTCCTTTCCCTGCCGCCGAGAGCAGGATGCACTTTGCTTAGCAACCGGCGGTGTGGAGAGGAGCTGGATCGATACCGGCTCTGTGGCTCTGTGACACCAACAGACACCAGCCTGAAAGTGCTCGGTGCCGATGGGGGCTCTGAGCTCCTCACCAACACGCTGGCACCAAACCTGCTCTCTGGCCAAGAAATGCTGTCATGGTCCCAGAAAACCTCTGGGTAGATGTGGAGGGATGGACAGACAGAGGGGCAGAAGGAGAAAGGGGGTTGCAGGAGGCAGATGAGAAGATAGACTCTGTTTCCAGCTGCTCAAGTCTTCTCCTGCCTCCTCTCCACCCTGACCGAAAGGATGGAAATGGGTAGGTGGACCTACAGCTGGGCTCCAGGTCATTGAGGACAAGGTGCCATGAGGATGTGGGGCCCTCCCAGCCCATACTCACCGCATTCATGTCAATGCCATTGGTGTAGGACCAGGCGTGTTGGAAATACTCCTCCAGGCGCTGGCGCAGGGGGTTGGGGATCTGGTGGAAGCGGATGAACTCCTTAACCCGCAGCATCTGCGTGTGGTAACGGGCCGTGCCCGAGTACAGGCGCTGGATGATGGCGGAGACGTTGCCGAAGATGCTGGCGTACATCAGAGCTGCAATGAGAAGGCAGGACTCAACAGGACATGGGGAGATGCGTGTCCAGCTACCTCAGACCTGGAACCAGTAGGTTTCCAAAGACCAAAGAAATCTACCATGGACCTGAAACCAGTGGGTTTCTGAAATCCATATTTCTATCTGTCTCCCCATCCGTTTGTCTGTGCAGAAGAGGCACAAGCAGAGGGAGATGCTTCCTTACAACCCCACATCCTACAGCCTGGTGGGTCTCTCCCTGTTTCTCCCCAAAGCCACCCCTCCAACCTCCAAGGCAGGGATGGGAGCAGAGGGACACGGGCAGGCACTCACAGCCGATGAGCATGACACAGATGGAGAAGATCTTCTCAGAGTTGGTGTTGGGTGAGACATTGCCGAACCCCACGCTGGTGAGGCTACTGAAAGTGAAGTAGAGGGCAGTGACGTATTTATCCTTGATGGATGGGCCAGAGGAGAGGTCGCTGTCATTGTAGCGCTTGCCGATCTGGTCACCCAGGTTGTCCAGCCAGCCGATCTTGTGCTCCATGTAGGGCCTCTCCACGTTGCCGATGGCATACCAGATGCAGGCCAGCCAGTGGGCGATGAGGGCGAAGGTGCACATGAGCAGGAAGAGCACAGCTGCTCCATACTCAGAGTAGCGGTCCAGCTTGCGGGCCACGCGGACCAGGCGCAGCAGCCGAGCGGTCTTCAGGAGGCCAATGAGGGTGGTGGTCTGCAAGGGAGAGGTGAGAAAGCTCAGGGACAAGCAGGAGAGAAATCTGGCCAAAGGCATGTCTCCAACCTAGCTGTGCTCTCTTTGAAAGATCAAAATGCATTTCTAGAGCATGAATCACCTTGTCCTGGAGGTGACATCTGAAATAGGTTAGATGAATCACGCCACAGAAAGGGAGTTTCCTTCTGCTGACCACAAAGGGAACAAGCCCTGGGATTACAGGTGAGCAAGTGAGAGGAGAAAAGGCCAACCCCATCCCACAGGCTCTCAGCTAAGGTGGGGCCTCCGGGTAGCACAGTAACCACAAGGGACATCCCATTGCCAACACTTTGACACCAAATTTGGTCTCACTGGCCAGTGAGGGCAGTCCCTAAACTGAGCTCCCAGCCTGCTCTGCTGGGTCATCCCCAGCAAGGGGAGTGGGTCCAGTTAGACACAATCTCAGCACTTACAGTAGGGTCTGTGTGTCTGATCCTACTAAATAAAATCCCAGGTCCCAGCTGCTTAATAAAAACCTCTAATGACATCCTTGCCCACCCCACTGACTAACCACCCCTCTCCTTGCAGATCTAGCCATCCACCACTTCTATCAAGCCATCCATATCCCTTTCCTTCTCTCTCATCCATCCATCCATGAGTACTGCCTGTACCTCATCAGAGCCAGAGCGGAAGATGAGCAGGTCAAAGGGGATGGCGGCAACCATGTCGATGAGGAACCATCCCTTGAAGTAGTGGATGGCGATCTTGCCAGGGTGGCTCACCACCTCGTCATTGATATTGACGTAGGTGGTACGGAAGTTGATGACAATGTCCACGATGAACATGATGTCCACGATGAGGTCGATAATGTTGAGTGGGTCACAGGAGTAGCTGCAGTCCCAGTGCTTCTCCTCCACCTGCTCCTCATTGAGCAGGAAGGCGGCTGAGTAGGGGGTGAAAACGGCTGTGTAGATGACCAGCAGAAGGATGAGCCAGTCCCATACAGCCTTGAAGGGACTGTAGTGCAGGATGGTCCATCGGTGGATGCGTGGTGCCTGCAGCTTGTACTCGGGAAGGACATCAGCACCCAAGGACAGCACCTGCCAGGAGATGGGTGTGTGAAGGACCGGAGATCAGGAGAGAGGTTGGATAAAGCCAAGAGCCAGGCAAGGGGCTCCCATGTGCTGGTAGGACAGTGAGGAACATGCAGTGGGTTTCCTACATGTTTGTCCAGAAGGACACAAGGTGAGTTGCCCACTATGGCTGACACCAAGGTCTGCCTGGCTTTTTATGCATCTCTAATGGCCAGAGCACCCTTGGGGCAAGTATTTATCTGCTTTATGCCTTTCAGACCCTACCACACTGGCAGGGAGGGAAGTGCCTCCTTGTACCCTCAGCTCTGTGCCACCAGTCCAGGAGCTGCTGGGTGTCCTTGGAACAGGGCTCTGGGGACAACAAGCCTGGAGATGCAGTCCCATGGCTGTGGCATGTCCTGACCCCAAAGTTGATGGCACATTAGGCATCCTGCAAGCCTTGCATGGTGCCTTTCTTGGCCCCAGCAGGGACCTTTGCCTTGATGTCCTTCTGGCACAGCTGTCCTTCAAGCAGAGGGGACAGCTTGGGCCACCCACAGCAGAGCCTGGCCTCAGGCAATGCCCGTTTCCCATCTGAGCATCCCCAGGGAGAGGGGGTGACCTGCAGCCACCAACATGCAAACACCATCTCGTGCGCACAGGCAGCCTCCCATGTTGTCATGTGTCCCTTGGTCTGTCTGCCCTCACGGGGACAGGCTCCCACGGCACCAGTGAGTCCCCACGCATCCCAGCTCCCCCCCAATGCCAGCTCCTGGTGGACTCTCAAGCCACCCCAGGGACACAAGGCAAAGTGCTGGTGATCGGAAGGGTTGTCCTGTGTTGGATGCTGAGAGATGGTGGCATTAAGGGACTTATTTAGAGCTGGGGGCAGCCAGAGCCTCCCTGCCTGTCCTTGCTGCTCTGTTGTCCCCTGGGTGTCCCCGTGGTCCAGCTCCCCCCCAATGCCAGCTCCTGGTGGACTCTCAAGCCACCCCAGGGACACAAGGCAAAGTGCTGGTGATCGGAAGGGTTGTCCTGTGTTGGATGCTGAGAGATGGTGGCATTAAGGGACTTATTTAGAGCTGGGGGCAGCCAGAGCCTCCCTGCCTGTCCTTGCTGCTCTGTTGTCCCCTGGGTGTCCCCATGGTGCTGGCCATCAGTGCCACCTGCAGAGGAGGGTGAGGGGCACCTCAGTGTCCTCTCCCTGCACTGAGCTAAAAGGGGCTTTTTGCCCATCTGCGAAGGAGGGGAGAGAGGAGGCTCCACACGCCCCGAGACCATGGTGATGGGCACCACCATGATTCTGGCAACAGATCTGGAAGAAGAACCTGATCCTTCCTGCCTGGACACCCATCTTGTTCAAGGGTTCAAGGGCTTCCCAAGGGCTCCTGGTGCTGCAACCCAAAGCAGATCCAACCAACCCTGAAACCCTGTCCCACCACAAACAGCTGCTCCCATGTCCCTCAGCCCCAGGACATCAGTAGATCCTGCGTTCTGGGATTGCCCTTGGCTCCTACCTGCCTGCAGCTTGCCCGACGCCCCAGGCGACAGCTGATCCTCGAAGTCCTCCTGTCCACCATGGGGACCCCCAACCCCGCACGCCCAGGCAGCAACCGGCACGGTGGGCGCAGCACCGGGGCCGCGGCATCGCCCATGCAGGCACGCATGCACTCGGCCGGGCGGGTGGGAGACACGCGGCTGCGAAGGGCATTTGGGAGCCTGGTGTGGATTAATCAAACCCAATCGATGGTGGGGCCCCCATGGGGACGAGAGCGCCAATGGGACAGCGAGAGCTGCCGACGTCGCTGACGGATGGAGAGGGGAGGGATTGGAAAAAGTGACCCAAACGCAATCATTGCAGAGGGGAATGAGGCACCAGCTGGGCTTGGGGACTGGTTCTTGCTGGGACAACAGGGAAGGGGACAAGGCGATGCCAGTAAAACGCTTGGTCCCAAAGCTCAGACGTGGCCAGCAGATCTGAGATGGGTTCCCACACCCTACGTCTGGGAAAACCAGCAACGCTCTCACCCTCAGCAGCCAAATCCCCCTGTCCTGCCTGGTCAGGGGCAGCTCCATGGGGCCAGTCCTGAATTTGAGCCCCCAAATACTGCTCCCCACACTGGGACACCTGCCCTGCCCCTCATCCCTGCTCCTGGTGCCCGACTATTGCAGCTGAAGCAAGAGCAGGTGGAGCTCTGGCATTCTCCAGGCAGGAATTAATCAAAACCCACAACTCCAAAAATCTGAGGCAGAAAAGGGAAAAGAAACAATCTCCAAAAGTTCATCCAAACCAACGCAGAGCCAGGGAGCAGCTGCAGCCTTGTCCCTCTCTGCCTCGTGGGGACAGGGAGGGATGCAGGTGGCACCTTTGGGTGGCCCTGGGAGTCTCCATGGGTGGCAGTGGTGGGCACTCCCCATGGTGATCCCACTGGGTGCCTCTTCCCCCTGTGCTTAGTGGCTTCAGCTGCAGCTGCAGGCTGATGGTGTGGGGTGCTGGGTGCTGGGTGTGGGGTGCTGGGTGCTGGGCAGGGAGCGAGGCAACCGTGGGAGGGAGGATGAGGAGGAAGAGGGAGGGAGGAGGGAGCAGGGTGTGTGTGGGCTGTGGGTGATGGAGGGGGGAGGCTCCATGGCCCTGGCTAGCCCAGGCCACTGCTCGTGCCCCACGGGTCCCAGCGGCCTTCCTCCTCCCTTGCCCCACACTGGGGCTGGGGACACCGAGCTGAGGAGAGTGGCCACACCAAAGCCACCAGGAGACTCTCAAGCATAAGTAGCTGGGCAGGATCAGGCC